CCCACCTCCTTTGCTGCCTTGCCTATCACCCCCCCCTCCGAAAGACAGACTCGTATCTCCGCCTGAGAGACACCAACCAACCCTTCTAACACACAAGAAAGCAGGACACACACAAATGTGAACACAGCAAGAAACAAGCTTTTCTTGTATGCTTTGCAGGGGATCCAGAGACTCGTGCCTCCGTATGCAACCCTGTATTTCTCCTCTCTCTATCAGTCTGCATTGAAAAACACAGGTTGGTCATGACACGGGGCAACGGTATCATGCCCAAAATGAAAATGTGGAATAACACTTGAATGATAATAAAAGGGAGACGGGTCAAAGGCAAAAGGAAAAGTTCCACAGGGTCAACCCTTCTTCCTTGATGCATCCTTCCTGATCAGTGATAAACAATGGAAGCAAAGCTCCAAACAGTATCATCTTTGTTTGACAGACATTTTGATGGCTCTTTGTGACCAGAACTATATGTGCTCGCTGAAGCGGCACCGCGGAAATAGGGGAGATGCTATTACGCCAGCTTTAGTGACGCATCCACGCTACCCCCTCCCCCCCCCTCCCTCATCCCAACCTCTTGTCCACATCACCTCCCATAACCTCCTCATTCTTTGGCTGGGTGGCCCCGCGCGGCTGAAGGCACCACAAACCCAGTGACACGACCTTTTCCATTTGAGCTTGACCACTCAACCACCGTGCAAAAGCATACAAACACATGCACGGAGGGTGCTTCTGTCTCTGTATTTATTTTTTTCTGCTCTTTTAAACTTGTTAAGCTGAAAGAATGGCAAAAGGGGTGACATCATTGGAAGAGCTACCCTGTCTCTCCAGCCCCTCCCAGCTCTGGTTGACCCTTGAACGGCGGAAGGGTCATTTCGTAAAAGGGTCGGGGGGGGGGGGGGGGGTTGTCCAGGAGAGAGGACAATAGTATGAATGCTACCACACATGGCTGACTAGCTGACCTCCTCACTCACCCTTCGCTATCCCCCCTTGTTTCTGTCTCCGGGGAACTGTCAAAGTGTCTCGGAGAGTTTCCGCATGTTGCCCAGTGCTGTTCGTAACTGCGCTTGGCCTTGAAAAATTAGCCCTGAGCTGAGATAAGAAGGCTTAAAGTAAGGCCATAATCCATAATCCACTCCTTATCAAAGCAAGCAGCTCTCCCTCTCTCTCCCTATTTCTCTCTCTCTCCCCTACTACGTAACAGAGAGCGGGGTGTCAGGGTGACGAGGCAGAGGATGCACTTGACTGCTTGGGTGAAGAGGGCGAGGCTGGAGATGTGGGGGTGCCTGGGCCAAGGGCAAGAGGGCTAAGTGGGAGGGGTGCTGGAGGGGCACAGATGTTAGCTGCCGTTGAGGCTGTCACCTCGACAGCCCAGTGGCAGCTGGCATTGTTTAACGCATGGAGTCATTGGGAGGGGGGGGGGGGGGTTGAGGGAAGCAGACATTCACAGACCTGCCAGCTATGTCACATGTACATATGTCAAATACTTACTGCCACACTCTGGGTTGCAGGCAATCAACATTATCCATGACTCCCTAAAGAGCCTGACTGTGCACATGCTTGTGTTGGCAAGCAAGCTGAAGACTGAGAACATTTTCGAAGAGAAAATACACCGTAACAATCTGAGACCTCTGAAAGAGCAACTGAAAGAAACAAAAAGGGAAGAAAGAAAGAAAGAAGAGAGCAGGCTCAAGGTCAGTGTGATGGGTGTTTGAATGTGGTTTTACCTGGCGTCCCTCGCTCCTCCAGAGGCCGTTGCTCGTCTTTGTTGGAGCAATGGTGACTACAGGTGGAGTGTTTGGCACGCTGTGGCCCGCTGGGGGAACCAGGCCAGGCCCTGGACCAAGGGGACCCCTCTTGGGTGTGCTGACCGGGGAGCTGTGGTTGGTGGCTGGGGAGGACACTGGAGAGGACTCACTGCTGATGGAGGACGCAGCTGGAGAAAGACAGAGACAGGCGACATGAGTTCAGTGAAAGAATGAACATAAGACAAGCTAATAGTCCGTCTATTGCTCTGTCACTATAAAGGCCAATGTAACAACAGTATGAGCCTGTAGCTCCTTCACTCCGGAACAAAAAGGGGTTGCAGAACTACAATAGCAACAAATAACGCGCACGCGCGCGCGCACACACACACACACACACACACACACACACACACACACACACACAC